TCCTATCACCCAGAAGGGTGTTAAGTGACTCCAAGAGGGACAAAGGCTCAGAATGCTGCCAGATTGCCTCTCTCCAGAAGCTGGAAGGCTGAGTTTTTCTCCCTCCTAAAAGACCACAAGCTTTTGGCTTCTGATCCACCTTTATTTGGGATTTATATAATCACAACTAGACTTTGAGCAACAACAAAAATTTGAACGGTAGAAGGGGATATAAAGAAAACAGGCAAATGGAGTCTGGGTTTTTAAAATAGCCATTTTCCAAAGGAAAAAAGAACCTAAAATGGGATTTCAGTGCTTCCCTTACAACTATTCTTAAAATCTGACAGTTTAATTCAAGGGGCACCACAGTGTTGCCCTCTGATAACATACAAAACCATCCAATACTATCAGAAAACAAAAGGAAAAGTCCATTTCCAAGTATTATAACTGTAAAGAGAGACGGAAAACAAGCCATTTTAACTGCAAAACAGTTATTTGGAGGCTGGACAAGCAAAGTAACTCTTAAGACAGTAAAAGTGTGTTTCTTTTGTAAAGTTTCCCAGTGCTGACGAAGAGCAGGATCCCTGGGGAGGGATTTCTCATCTGGCTGTGCTCAGGAGGCTGCTGGAAACTCTGCAGATAAAAAACCACCTCCCAGCACTCCCAAACTTGCCTCTCCCCCAAACTCCATCTAATTCTCACCTTCCAAAGGTCTTTGTTCAGCTGCTGGAATGATTTCATGTGGTTATTTCAAATAAAAGCAGGAATAGTGTTCTTCAACCTTCAGGAGATCCTCGTCTCGTCCTCTTTATGTGAAATCAGGAATTTTTGGGAGCCATCCATGATGTTCGGGAAAGGCTCAGTGTGGCAGGTATGAGAACTGCCAGCTTGCATTACTGTCCCAAGTCCAAAACCCTCCTTCCCAGAGATATTAGTTCTAGTTCTTTTATTCAAATCCCATTGTCACCCTCAGCGCTCACCCAAAAACTCAGTCTTCAGGTTTTATTAACAAATCTGTGGGTCTCACTCGCTCTCCTTGTTCCAACCTTCCCCATTTTCCCTTTAATTCCATATTCCCAAGCTTCCCATTTGACACGTTATCCTTCATCGCTGCACTCAATAGTTTGCAGGGCATTAACCTTGGCTCCAAGTGTTCGGAATTGATCTGCTGCTTTCCAGTTCCAGCGCTCAGCTCCCCAAATTGTCAGTCCCCAGAGACTAATTTGCCACCGAAATAATCCATTTGTCGCTGCAGGCTTTGAAATCAAGGCTCCACTTTTGCAGGCAGAGGCTGTAAATGCAGCCGGAGTTTTTCCACGATTATTAGTTCCATCCATTTCGGAAGCTTCTCCGCACAGAGGGTCGGATGATAACACAGCCTCAGGGGCAGAGCGGGGAGGCTCGAGAGGCTCAGCTAATTGGAAATTAAAGGCAAGAAAGAAATTCCTTGGACTCTTAGCCCAAGTAGATATTCAGCTTTTAGCATTTAGCATAATAAATATAAAGAAAGGAACATCACAGCATTAAACATCATCATTCCTTTAGCACTTATGTCTTGTAGCTTGAGCAAAGAAGCCACCAACAGACCAGTTTGGCTGCTGCAGGTCCCCGAGTAGGCTGTGAACCCCACCAGACCCACTCCTGGCCCAGTATGGGCAGTTCCCAAACCAGGCAGCTTCAGACCAGAGGTTCAGGATCATTATTAAGGGCAGATGTGGCCACTTCCTGCTCCAAGGTGCATTTTGGAGGCTGCAGGCACCATTCTCATCCCCGGTCCTGGTCCCCCTCCAGCCTCTGAACTGCTCCTGGGCAGCTCTGTGGGCTGGGAAATTGATCCAAGGTAAAAATAATACTGGGAAAACAAACCAAGTTATTTTTAACCCAAGTCAGTCCCGTGATCTGTGAGACTCTCCCCCAGCAAAGTGTTATTCCCCTTGTTTACAGGTGAAATCATAGAATGCATTTCTGATAAATTATTTTCCTTCATTAGTTCTTCATCTCACAACTTTTAAATCTGTACATCTTTGGGAGAGGAATTGATTTAAAATTATTCCTGATAAACAGTTGTAATACTACTATTCTTATTTAAATTTAAAGCAGAAGCTTTGTCACATTAAGCTTTGATTATTTATTATCTGTTTTGTTCCATTTACTATAAACACACACTAAGTGAATTCACTTACTTGCTTTCTAGTGCAAAGTTTTCCTCCTGTATCTGGGTCCTGAGAGATTATTTCAGTGAGGAATGAGGACTTGGAGTGCTGGGGGAGAGGATAAACACTGTGGCTGCTTAGAGCAGGGTGGCTTGTCCAAGCAAGTTCCAGGGGAAAAGCAGGACCTTCAGAACTGAGAGCTGTGAAAGAGAAAAGGAGGAAGCAGCAGGGAGGGGACAGGGGCAGCCGGCACCCAGAACACTCACAGTGTGTGTTCTCGAGTGCTAAGGACTGAGGAACATGTCCAGGCAAGTGCTCAGCTCCGATCCCATGATGTGAACTCTTCATAAGCAGCACAAAATCCCACGAAGTGTTGTTACCTCACAACTATTTGAGGGCTGATGAGGATTTCCAGGGAGTTGCAGTGATGGACTCCCTCCTCTGGTGGGATCTTTATAGTGAACTGCAGGACTCTGAGAATTCTGGGTGATTGAATCGTGGAATCACAGCATTGTTAAGGTTGGAAAAGACCTTTAAGATCATCAAGTCCAATCATCAGCCCGGCACCATCACCATGTTCACCACCACCATGTCCTCAAATGCCACATCCACATGTTTTTTGAACACCAGGGATGGTGACACCACCACGGCCCTGGGCAGGCTGTTTCAATGCTTTCCAAGCCTTTCCACAAAAAAATTTCCTTACTATCCAACCTGAACCTCCCCTGGCACAGCTTAAGGGCGTTTCCTCTCATCCTGTCCCTTGTTCCCTGACATCCTTGGGAGCAGAGCCTGACCCCCCCCCTCCCCTCTCCTGTCAGGGAGTTGGAAAAAGCAAGAAGGTCCCCCCTGAGCCTTTTCTCCAGGCTGAGCCCCCCCAGCTCCCTCAGCCACTCCTGGTGCTCCAGACCCTTCCCCAGCTCCGTTCCCATCTCTGGACTCGAAGCAGCACTAAAGCAGAGGTGGAGCAGACGCAGCAAATGGGAGTTACTGGTTTTATCTGGTGTCCTGTGCTGACAGACCCACAGGTCCTCCCAGTCTCTCTCCTTGTGCCACTGAGGAACCGGCTGGTCAGAATCTCCCAAGCCTTGAGCTATCCAGGCTATGTCAAAACAAGGAGGAATGTTATGGATGAGCTGGAAATGCCATGATATACTTGAAGGACAATTAGGAACATCATAAGGCAGCTAAGAAATGTGGACTATAAACAAATGCCACTTGCAGATGCACAGGGATCCACAGACTCTGCTGGTGGAGGAAATGCTGGGATTTCTGAGGGGTGGAACAGTAAGAGCTGACTCAAGTGCTGTTCTTATGCCGATCTCATAGGATTATCCAGCTTCAGGAGATGTACACTAGGAATTACAGTGGAGGGGATTACAGGTAGCATAAACCATGGGAACGGAGAGAATGGGAGTGTTTGGATTATAGGGAGGGTAAGAACAGGCAGCTGAAAGCCCGGAGCAGGCAGCACAGCAGTTGGCACAGGCAGTGCTCTCAAGCAGTCCCACCTTTGCCTGGGAAGGAAGTTGAGCTGTTTCCAAGGACAGAGCACCTGGATTTTTTCCCAAGGCAGCACATCACCACACAGAGAGGGCATGTGTACTGTGGGAAACACTGGAGGTGTCAAGTGGAGCTGCTGGTGGTGCAAACATATAATTCTGGAATGGTCTGTGTGGGAATAGACCTTAAAGCTCATTCCATGGCACCCTCTACCATGGGCAGGGACACCTTCCGTTAGACCAGGTTCCTCCAAGCCCTGTTCAACCTGGCTTTGGACACTTCCAGGGATGGAGCAGCCACAGCTTCTCTGGGCAACCTATGCCAGGGCCTCACCACCCTCACAGAGAAGGATTTCTTCCTAATATCTGACCTAAATTTCCCCTCCTTCAATCTGAACCCAAACATGCTCAGGGTTCCTTCCAGCTACTCCCCTGAAGCCCCAGAGTAACTTGGTTTTGCTCAAGACACGTTTATTAGCAACAGGGAAGGGTGTGGAACAAGCTCCAGGGCAGACGAGGAATCTGCACCACGGAATCGTGCGAAGGCCCCGCGCTCACCAGGAACTCTGTTTAAAGAAGAGCTACACCCAGGCTGTGGAAAGTTTGCACAAGGAGAATTCCTCGGAGAGCGTGCATTGGAAACAGGGTCAAGAGTTAACATCTGATGTAAACGGGTATTTCTGAGCCTGCTCTTGGCTGGGCCTGGATTATGAGATGAGAAGCATGACTTAAATCAGATTTAGACGTAGATTTTTGGAAATTAAGAAAACCCCTGAAATGATCACCCGACCCCCAGTTCCCTATGAATGTCCTGCACACCAACAATCAGGCAATAGAATCATGGAATGGTTTCAGTTGGAAGGGACCTTAAAGATAATCCAGTCTCACCCCCTGCCATGGGCAGGGACACCTTCCACTACACCAGGTTGCTCCAAGCCCCATCCAACCTGGCCTTGGACAATTCCAGGGATGGGGCAGCCACTGGTTCTCTGGGAAATCTGTGCCAAGGCCTCACCACCCTCACGGGGAAGATTTTGTTCCCAATATCTCATCTAACCCTGCCCTCTGGCAGTGGGAAGGCATTCCCCCTGGTCCTGTCACTCCATCCCTTGTCCAAAGTCCTCTTTTGGAGCCCCTTTAGGCACTGGAATGCTGCTGTAACCCTAATCCAATACTTACCTGAACAGTATCCTCAAATTTCCTTGTACCATAACCTAGGGAATGTTTGCAGCTACAGATGCAAGAAAGTCAGGGCATTCTCCCCAAATCCAACTCCTTAGTTGGGAACAGGAGGGAGCCCTTGTTTGCTCCCAGCAGCTGCACCCAGAACTCCCAAATTTGGGAAGAAAGGAAAAACAAGTTGATATCCAGAGTTCACAATGGAAATCAAATGTTAAAACAACAAGTTACAGGCACACAAAACACGGGCACTTTGGGCATGGCTTTCTGGCAGCTCTGAGTTTCCTGCTCCATCCCTATGGCTGCCTTTGGGGCATCCCAGTGAGCAATGATTTGGGAGAGCAGGTTGGGTGGAAGGAGCAAGGGGAATCCATGGCATTTTGGAGGTGATGGCAGAGTTGTCATTGTCCAGAGAGCTTTTACAGCTGAAACAGACTTTGCTGAGGTTACCATTTAGGGAAACAACCAGAAGAAGAGAGGAGTGGAGGCTGAACCCTGAGCATGAGGAATATAAACACTGGCCCTTTTGGAAGAGCAAGTGATGATTTCACACACACATCACACCCTTCCTGTGTAAACAGGAGTGCCAACATGAGCAGACACGCTGGATGTCCGCTGCTCCGGGCTCTCTGTGCAGCTCTGGAGGGACGCAGAGATCAGTGAGGCCAAGAGCATTTCTTAGGATCAGACTCAGGCGCTTTCAGGCACTTCCCAAGCTTCTCACAGCCTGGAGGGGACCAATTCTGTTAAAGACAAACAAAAATAGACAGAAAGATGATTCACACCAAGTGTCTCCTAAGCTCTAACCCCAACCAGCCCTTTTTGATCCTCACAAAGACACTTTTATGTCCTGCTTGAAAAATGAAACTCCTCTTGCAGCCGATGCTTCTGGGCTCATAAACTTCCCCATTCCAAACACCAGTCAAATAAAAGCTTTAGGAAAGGCTACAAATCCTTCTGCAGCACATGATTCCCTCTTCTGGCATCTCTCCTGGTCTCTCCCAGACCAGTTTGCTGGGACTCTGTGACCCTCCTCTCTCTCTTGTAGCAGCACAGAGCAACCAGACCATGAGGTTTTGGTGACACTCCCAATTTTCCTGGAGTCCAGAAGAGTTCCCATTCTTAGCACTGTGATATCCAGGCACTTTGTTGAGGAAGCAAAAAGCAGCAGAAGGCCAAGGGTGTGAGAGAGATAAGAATGCTGGTATTTTAATGAGCATTTTGATGGATGAATCCATGAGCAGACGGAGCAGGAGGCATTCCTGGGACACCTCTTCCACAGAAAACTATTTGTCTCCCTTGTTTCCATGTTTCTTGAACTACCTGCCTGTGTACAACAGAAAAAGGACACCAGCAAGGAGACCCACTGCAAACCTCAGCTTCCTAAAGGATCAACAAAGGAAAGAATTTGGAAATGAACTTTTTTTATTTAATTGGTATTTTGTCATTTAAAATTTGGGATCGTGGTCGTGTGAATGGCAGGTTGTAATTCCCATTCTGCCTTCAGAAATCTTTTGTGTTCATTCCCTGTTCCTCCCTCTCTCAGGTCTGTACATATCAAAGGCTAGTTCAGCTCTGACCTATTGCCTTTTATTTTGTTTATTTTTATCCTTCAAATATTTATGTTTTCTTGGATGTACATTCCTACGGAGGAAACGAAAAGCTTAACCCCAGAAAAAAAAATGCTGGAGCACGATTTTATTCCATGGAACTGACAACAGATGGCAGTGAGACACCAGTTATCCCTGCAGAGGAGCAGACACAGAGGGAACTCTGGTGGAGGCACCTCTGCACCAAGGGCTCCAGAGGCTTTAAGAACAATTAATGCTGGTTTCTAAATCTGTTTCTCCATTTTAAAATGCACAACCATGGCTGGAAATTTCAGGCCACTCTGCAGAAGGAACTGAGAGCCAAAAGAACAAAAGAAATGTTTGTTCTTTTGAAAAATATCAAACAATAAGTGGTGTGTGCTTCAGTCTCACAGTCCAAAGCTTTTCTGGAGCTGTGCTGGGAGCCCTGGGGACACCATCCATGCTGCAAGTCAGGCCAGAATGGCTCCACTGCATGGAACAGCTTTTCCTGCACTTCCACAGGACAAAAAAACAGCAGAGCTGGCTCTGTGGGAGCTTCGTGGACACTGCTGGTGGGACACACCACAGATGGGCCAGCAAAGACCTCCCAGCTCCGGAGGGCTGGTGCTGCTGTGCTTCCATCAGTCCCACGACTGCAGGAGCTGCGAAATGATGCTTCTGCTGCCATGGAATCATGGAATAGTTTGGGTTGGAAGGGACCTTAAAGCTCATCTTGTTCCAGCCCCTGCCAAGGGCAGAGACACCTTCCACTATCCCAAGTTGCTCCAAGCCCCGTCCAATCTGACCTTCAACAATTCCAGGGATGGGGCAGCCACAGCTTCTCTGGGCAACCTGTGCCAGGGCCTCACCACCCTCACACGGAAGGCAGTGGGAAGCCATTCCTCCTTGTCCTGTCACTCCATGGCCTTGAACATTTCCTTGAACACTTCCACACACTTTGCTTATGTGTAAGTAAAGACAATTCTCTGTCCCAGAAAGGATATTAAACACTCATATCCAATAAATAGGTGACAGGATTTGGGAGACAGTAAATTAGATTGTATTAGTCAACAATATTTATCTCCCAGTATCCCCCAAAGACAGATATCGGGCCCAATCTACCAACCACTCCAAAAAGATTTGGTTTTCTTAATTTCTGGTCTCAAAAAGCAACAATTTGGTGCTTGATATTTCAGTTTAGTGACCATGCAATCAGTCTGTAAGGAGTGTACATAGATTACAAAACTCATAATGCTTCCTGTTGGGATTTGAATGTTTCTCCTGGGATTGGGATCCTCCCCAGCCCACTTTCTGCCTCAGATGGCCTAAAATTTGTGAACCAGTTTTGGAGGCAGCACAGAAGAAATGCCTTTGCCAGGCTCTGCGGACAGTTCCTGAATCCAAAAGGTCCCAGGGGAGCACAGAACAGTGTTTATTAGGGGAAAAGTTGAATAAGAAAAGAAAACAGCACAGAAACAATGGGGCTTCAAATCTTTTTCCTATTTAACAGCCAAAAATAAAAAGATGGGACAAGGCTAAGAAAGATCTTTTCCTTGTTACTGAGGGGACACAAATCCACATTTTGTTCTTTCCTGGTGACAGACCAGAAGCAGCAGGTTCTGACTGTTTCAGAAGATTATTTCAGCATCAGAAAGATGTTGTTGTTACTATTTTGTGTCAGCCCACAGACACATTCCCTCAGACTACACAGCCTCTCATCATCTGACAACTTTACCTCCTCCACACTATCCAGTTGCTTTCCCAGGTTCTCAACAAACCAAGCTGTGTTTGACAGGAAAGCCAAACTGTAACTTTTCAACATGAGACTTGAAACAGAAAAGAGAATTGAAAACGTTTTGTCATGTCTCAAGCCATAAAGACCTTGGAAAATTCAGGCATGGGCAGAATTGGAGGAGACTGAACAAGATCAAAGATACATCACTGAAAGAGAGAAACTGTCCCAGTGCCACCACTCAGACACAGAGGACTCAAAACAAAGAGGGCAGGGTTAGATGGCATATTGGGATGAAATTATTCCCTGTGAGGGTGGTGAGGCCCTGGCACAGATTGCCCAGAGAAGCTGTGGCTGCCCCATCCCTGGAAGTGACCAAGGCCAGGTTGGAGTCACCTGGTCTAGTGGAAGGTGTCTCTGCCCATGGAAGGTGGGTGGAACAAGATGAACTTTAAGGTTTCTTCCAACCCAAACCACTCCATGCTTCGATGATTCCATGACTTTTAAGATTTGTAGAAGGCGATTAGGAAGGAGAAGAAGGATCTACAGTTGTGGATCCTGCCCTGTCCCTAAGGAAGGAAGCCACAAGCAGGTGAGTGATCATCCCTTCTCCATCCCTTCCCAGAATTAGGTGACACTTCAGGAAGGCTTTACAATACATATTTCAAGCTAAGGATTCCCCACAGTATTTCTGCTTTAAGCACTCACCATAATGGCCTTGTCACACACATTCAGCTGTGGCTCCCCAGGCACCAGCGTGTCTTTGTGCTGCTGGACAATTCCAGTTATCCGCTCCACGGCACGTTGATATTCCTCACTGGCAAAACTGGAACGGGAAAAAATACAGATCTTATTGGTGGGTCATCATTTCAGTGTCCACATTACCAAGCTGGGCCAGAAGACTTTTCCTGGGCCATCACCAGGGAGAAGGATATGTACACATGCTGTTGACTGCCCATAGGTCTGCAGGGGAGTGAAACACCTGAGCTGGCAGAGTCCCGGTGCTCTGCTTAGGGCCACAAGGATGGCACGTGTGCTGGTCCTCCCCAGAAAAGCACCTGACTCCTGGCAGATGATCTCAGCTTTCAAATCTGCTGGTCCCAGTGGCCCCAAATGTTTCCTGCTCAGAATTCTCCTCAGAATGCTGTGAGCACATGTTGAGTCCTGAGGGGAGTGCAAAGGTGGCAGGTACAAAGAAGGGTGTTTTTGGGGTTGTCCTCGAGCTGTCCCTTAAATGATTCTCAAGGGAGACTTCCCAGACACAGGACTAACATGTGGCCAGACAGGTTGGACAGAAGTTTGCAGAGGTAATCCTTCCAGCATGTCACACCTGAGGTCAACCTGCTCTCCAACATTCAACCCCCACTCTTGCAAGTGCTTTCCTGCAACACCTGCCTCACTTGGAGATGTTTATTGTAGGGAAACCAAGGGAATGTCAATATTTTGTTTTACAAGAGTGTTCTCAAGCCAAGGGTTTTAAACACAACCCTCAGCCAGTTAAACTCCACAATCATCAAAGAAACAAACTAAAATTACACGAACAGGAAGATGTAGAAGAAGAATAGAAGGGACTTGTCCAAGACAAGAATATCTCCTCCATTTCCCAACATCCCGAGGTTCTGTCCCATCTACATTCTTCCATTACAGTTTTATTATTCCAAGCTGGGACCCATCTGTCACTCCTCAAACATGGTTAAAAATTATCAGATTCTTATCCACCCGACTACTCCAGTAGGTACTTGTTTAAGTGGTTCAGGGTGTACTTCACTAATACCTCGAGTATTTCTAAAATGGAGGATTCCTACTCAGTGATCTCACTTTGTCCATCACGTTAAGAGTCACTTAAAAAAACACAGAGAGCGGCAAATTGCTTCTGAAGATAAAAGAAACAATGACCTGACCTCGGGCTCCCTCTGCTTGCAGTCCAAGCTGGCCAGCAGCCCCACACTCCAGCTAATTTCCTTCTTTGCAAAACAATCACATTTCGAAGCCCAGCAATGTGCCAACAGTTTCCAGTAAACCCTATAAATATCCCAGCTCGGCAGCCATCCAGAGAGAGGCTGATTGTGGGGATGGGCCTGAGCTCTGCTGATAGAGAACCGGAAGGGAATGGGAAATGAAAAGGAAGAGAATGTGAAATGAAAAGCAAAGTGTGGCTCTCACACCCAGCTGGCTGCGTCCTGGTGGAAAGACTGCCGAGCTGATGGACCACATGGAAATTCAGAATATCCTTGAGAAACTCTCGAATTTTACAGGATCATGGAATCATGGAATGGCTTGGGTTGGAAGGGACCTCAAAGCTCATCTCGTTCCACCTCCTGTCATGGGCAGGGACACCTTCCACTAGACCAGGTTGCTCCAAGCCCCGTCCAACCTGGCCTTGAACATTTCCAGGGATGGAGCAGCCACAGCTTCTCTGGGCAACCTGTGCCAGGGCATCGACACCCTCACAGGAAGGAGTTTCTTCCGTATATCCAACTTAAATTTCCCCTCCATCAGTGTGAAGTCATTCCCCCTTGTCCTATCACTACATGCTCTTACAAATTGAATTTCCTTGCTCTTCTCCCCATGCATCCCACATAAGCTCTCCCAGGTTACTCCTGCACTGCTCCAAAGAAGTTGGGGAGCTGCCAAAGCCCATCTCTGACTCACACCCTGACGAGGACACTCAGGGCAGCAATCCCAGCATTGCATCCCGAAGGCACAGTGGCCTTTCAGCCTGGTGTGATTTTATCTGGAAGCCTTCTGGTTGAATTCCAAATGTGCAGGATTTCCAGCCCGGCAGCAAAAAAAAAAAATCAAAGCACGATTTTAGAGGAGGCAGAGAGGCTTTACAGCTAAGCTGGGTTGACACACAGAGGACAGGAGAGCCTGCACATGGAGAGGGAAGGCTGGAGACAAACACTCGGAGGAGGGTGTGTAAAAACAGGCAAGTTCCAGGGACACACATGGCATCTGAGCTGGAAATGGGATGCAATCAGGGATCCAGAAATATTGTACAACCTACACATGCCAGTGATGGAACTGGAGCTGGAATCAGTTTAGGAGACATGTGTGTTTCAGTGTTTTAGGATTCCAACACACCTATAGTGCCAGGACTTGAAAGCTCTTCCAAACCTGAGATAATCCCACTTTATAAAGATGCTCATATTAAGGATTAATATGAATTAGTACATATTTTAATCGTTAGACTTTGATACTCTAGATAGCGAATCCTTTAATGCCTCCTCCTGCTGCTCCTGTAACTTGTGTTTATTTCTGTCACATCCTTGTGTCATCTCTCCAGCATTTAAGATTTTCTTTTCAAAGTGGACCCATAAGATAAAATATTGCTGGTAACTAATTAAGCTCCACAGCATCTTTGCAAATATTGAAGTGCTCAATTTCATCCATAGAAATGGCTTTTCAGATGAAGGATTCCAAATTAGCCATAATGTGGACAGAGCAGTGGAAAACACAGCTGTGCTCTGGAGGAAAGAGAAACAATGTGTTGTCACGACTGCTGCTTTTTGCTCCAAATATGCCAGTCTTATTGCAATGAAAAAAGTCTTTTTTGCTATAATCTTTAACTCCTATATTTATCCATAGCATTGATGCTCATCTGCAACCTCAGACACGGGAATGCCACAGAATAATAATGTCAGCTTGAGTCATTTAAATCACAGAATCCCAGAATGGTTTGGGTTGAAAGATTCCTTAAAGCTCATCCAGTTCCACCCCCTGCCATAGGAAGGAACACCTTCCACTACCTCAGGTTGCTCAAAGTCCCATCTAACCTGACTGTGGACACTTCCAGGGATGAGGCAGCCACAGCTTCTTTACGCAACCTGTGCCAGGGCCTCACCACTCTCACAGCCAAGAATTCCTTCCCAAAATCCCATCTTTCCCTGCCCTCTGGCAGCAGGAAGCCATTCCCCCTTGTCCTGTCACTTCAGATCCTTTTCCAAAGTCCCTCTCCAGCTCTGTTGGAGCCCCTTTATCCACTGGAAGGGGCTCTCAGGTCTTCCCAGAGCCTTCTCTTCTCCAGGCTGAACACCCCTAGCTCTCAGCCTCTCACAGTAAAGAAGCTCCAGCCCTTGGAATATCTTGGTGGCCTCCTTTGGACTTGCTTCAACAGATCCAGGTCCTTCCTGTGCTGGGGATCCTAGAGCACTCCAGGTGAGGTCTCAACAGAGTGGAGCAGAGGGGCAGAATCATCTCTCTCAACCTCACCTTCTTGCTTTAATTCCCGTGTTCAGGACACTCTTTTTTTCAGCTGGTTCAGCAGTGACAGGAAATCTTGGCCTAACCTCAGCTCCTAGTGTTTTGGACTGTTCTCCCCTGCAGCTTCCATGCTTTTAGATTATTTCAGTGTTTAGCACGGGCTGAATGAATCCCCAAAGCACGAGGGAAATGCCTCGGCCCCTATAAAGGACCTACAGTTCTCACATGAGGACAAAGCTGCCTCAAGCTAAAAAACATGGATAAATTATGCTCCAAGTCATACCCCAGCCTATAAACCTCAGTAGGCCTGAACATGTTCTTAAGATGGCTCAACCTGTTGACACCAGCTTAAACCAGATCTGATTGCAGGTGTCTTCCTTGTAGTGCCGCACACAACAGCGATGACCCTGAGTCAGTCAACACTGGGACATCATCATGGATCCTCTTCAGGTGCCTCGATGAACACATGGATTGTCTTCCTCTTCCAGAGGTGTGTGAAGTCTCCCTGTGAGGCTGGGGAGTGCAATGCCTGCAGGATGGAACCAGGACTTCACCTGAAGCTGGAGTCACCCATCGAGATGCTGTGCCCTGGGTGTTGGTTTTCCTGTCCTGATCCCATGGAGATCCCCATTCCATGGGGGTTGGTTTTCTTTTCTTGTCTCTGTGGAGATCCTCATTCCATGGGGGTTGGTTTTCCTGTCTTGGCCCCATCAAGATCCCCTTTCCTTGGCCATGAGAATTGGTTTTCCTGCCTTGGCCCCATGGAGATCCCTATTCCTGGCTCTGATAAGCTCCAGTTTTTTCTCAGACATTTCTATTTATCTCCAGAGTGTGCCCCAAGATCCCACATCCACAGATTTGTGAAGTATTTGCTGACTGCACAGGGGTTAAAACTGCCTCCAGCCCTAAGCAAGTGCATTTTGAGACAAAATCTGCAAGAGTGCCTAGAATTTGCATGTAAAATGGGGATAATTACCTCATGGTAATCAGTCTGAGTTGTTAAGGGAGCTGGGAACCTCTCCTACCTGGAGTCCCATCCTTTCTTGAATTCATATGCAGGACTGGGTTGCAAGGCAGGGTTTGTTACATTCCCTGTTCCAAAGAAAAGATAATATTATCTATACAGGTGTTTGGGCATCATTGTCTGTGAAGATCCAGACCTCGGTGCCTCCAGGACGTGCTGCATTTTGTATTCCAGTCCAACAATCCTGTGGAAGGAGAGCTGGGAATAGCACTGGAAGAATGAGAGGGTGAGCAGGTGGTGTTGTGAGGAGTTTGCTAAAAGAGATCCCCCAGCGTCCATGAAATTATTCCACGCTCAGAAGGAGGGAACAGAGTGGACAAAGTCCAGGGTCATTACACTAATTGACACTTTACCTCCGGGAAGTCCCTGGAGATGCAATCAGGGCTGGATTGGAGCTCGGGGTCCCAGGCACAGGTGTGGGCTGTGCTTCCTTCATTTAGTGTAATTGTGCCTTGGCAATCTGTTCCCATCCTCCCTCCCCAACAGCTCCAGTGGAACCTGCTCTGCTGTTAACCCCACCGTGCCCTCCACACACAGCCAGGTTTGGAAGGAGGAGGGTTTTTCTCTTTTGGTGTTAAACTCTGGTTTAATCCTGCTGT